CCTCTCTCCCTTCTCTCTCTTTTTCTCTCCCCTTCTTCCCCTTTGGCCGGCGGCAGGGCATGGGCTGCGGTGTGGCGCCGCCCGGCGGGAGCTGAAGCGGTCCCCACAGTGGAGGAGTCGACGATGGCGAGGCCAGCTCTCGGCGAGATGGGGTCGGCGTCTGTTCTTCGCACTAGCCGGCGACAAGGGTGCTGATCGGTGCCAGCGTCACCGTGGCCTTCTTGCTCCTGCTCGTCTTCTTCTTCATCATCTTGCCGCGCGGCGGCACACCGCCGGAGGTGGTATCGTCGTCCAAGGAGGGCGGGATCCGGGGGCGTCGCGATGGCGGCGGTGTATTCCAGGTTGAGAGCTATGGGGAGAGGTGCGAGCACGTCGCCGAGGAGGATGGCCATGATCGCCGGCGATTCCCGCGTGACTACGTCGACTACCTGTACCTGTTCGACTGCGTGTTCGGTGTGGAGCGGCGGGTTCTTGGCTACGGCGTGATGGCGGCTTGGCTCGCCGTGCTGTTCTACCTGCTCGGTGACACGGCGGCGGTGTACTTCTGCTCTAGCCTCAAGGGCCTCTCGTGGCTGCTCCGCCTCTCCCGACGATCACCAGCGTGACGCTCCTGTCGCTCGGGAACGGCGCGCTGGACGCGCTCTCCACCATCGCGTCGTCGCCTACGGCGGGGGAGAGGGGGAGACCACCACCATCGTCAGGAAACTTGCAATTCGCTCACAACTCACACGCTCAACCTCACTGAATCTTTGAAACTCTGAAGATTGTAAGACTGTGAACAGTAAACTGAAAAACCGAAGATCAGAGTGGTTTTTGTGCTGCTTAAGTCTCACCAGTCACCGCAGCTTCTCTGTTTTCTTCTCTATTTATTCATCTCCATCAGCAGTTCGTTACATGCATAACTGGAAAGAACAAGCCAGACTTCAGCCAGCCACTATATGCATGCAAAACAGAAATTAAAAAGCTCAAGATTGCAAAATATCCATCAGCGCACACGGCATCATCGCCGACGAACCACCAAGATCCCGACGCGAGCCAGCTTCCTCTTCTGTCGTCGCCATCGTCCCGCTCCCGTTCCCACTCCCTCCCCGCCGCCGACTGCCTCCAGTCGGGACTATCCAAGAAGAGCCGCGGCTGAGCGGGGACGAGGAGCCTCGCCCTCCTCGTCGGTGCTGAACGGGCGCGAGTGGATGGAGCGGCAGCCGGACATGTCCCCCGACACCGATGCAGTTGATGGAGATGTGGTCCAGCGACTCGCGAGCCGTCGGAGACCGCGCCGGTAACCGCAAGGGCGAGGATGACGAGCAGCATATTGGGCCGCCGCCGCCGCCGTTTCCCTCGTCCTCCCACTATCGCGAGCCTCCGCGGCCGAGCCGCCGCCGTCCTAGCCGCCGACTGCGCTGCGCCCCGATGCCACCAGCCGCCGCTGCTCACCCCGTCCTCCCGCCGCTGCTGGCAATGAAGAAAGAGAGAACGTAGGAGAGGACTCACTGACAGGTGGGCCTCACTTTATTTTTTTTAACTTATTTGATGAGTAGAAAGCCACGTATGCGCCACATCAGCGAAACCGTCCTCCAAAACCACCGAAGGAGTTAAATTGCACCGCTTTTAAGAGTTAAGGGGTCAAGATATCCGGTTTTGTGGTTTAGGGTTACGGATTAGATTTCGATCACTTTTGAGGGTCTCAAAGTGAACTTATTCCCCATCGAGAAGCACTTCGGGCTCTTCAACCCGGACAAGTCACCGGTTTACTCCATTAATTTCTCCGGCACTTCGGACTCCGGCCTCCAACCCCAACCAAGTATGGGTTGGGCTAACCGTCCGGCCTTCTACGCTCTAATGATCGTGGGCCTTAGTTTGAAACTTACTAACTTGGCCGGTTTAGTTGTTAGGGGCGGTGGCAAGTGAAACAATCCAGCGCATATGTACTCTCATTAGTGGTGATCTGAGCAAAATTTAATCGGCATAATAATCGGATATTGTTTTTGGATATTTTGTATCCTCATTTAAGCAAGGCAAGGACTACATCCAACATTCAAGCAGATGAAATATTTAGCAGTTTTTTTTTGCCAATTATATATAAATGGAGGTTGTATCTTTGCTTTTAGACTAGTAATCTAAGTCGTTTTTATTCAATTCGCAGTAATTCGACCTGCAATATCCGGAAGATTGATTGTAATTCTTTCGAAACAAAAGGCCACCAAAAATAATTTTATTATCATTACCTATATTATAAAAATTAAAGATAACTTTGTACTCATCGTCTGTTATTACATCTGTTGCTCTGGAAGAAAACTTCTACTCTGAGCTAGCTTTTCGTTCGACTTTGTTTCCCTGCACGCGCTTGCCTTGCATGACATCGCTTCTGTTCTAAAAATTCATCCATCTTCACAAGGACGCGCCTTCGGCCGCACGACTTGAGCCCCCCACTCCTCCCGACTCTGCATCTATCGATCCCCCCCCCCCCCCCCCCTTTCCCCCCCAACCTCCTCCCAGAACAAGTTCTTCTACCAGCAACTCGTGAGATCGAAACCGCACAGCGGAAGCGGTAGGATCAGATCAATCAAACACATAATGAAGAAACTATGGGCACCTGGCCATTGAGTGTGGGTGCAAGGGTGGCACTGTTGACGGAGCGAGATCAGGTTAGACTGATCTTGGATTGAAGTAAATAATACTTCCTCCGTTATAGGTTAAAAGACTTTATAGCATTGCCGTGTCTAGATTTATTAACATATATATGAATATGTACAATACTAAAAAGTCTTTTAATATAAAACGGAGGAAGTATAATGGTTTGATCAGGAAGTGGCTAATATGATATATTGTAGTAATGCATTAAAAAGGCTCTGATTTTTTCAAGTTATTCATCGAATTTTTGAAATGTTTAATTTATATCTATAATCCAATAGATAATCTATAACAATGGTCTGCTTTATAATCTAAATTAAACATAGCAAAGTCATCAAACTTTATTTCTTGCCTCACGGTAGCTGAGAAATAGAGAGTAGATGGGATGGGAACGTGCACAGTTGCGCACGGCAAACGGAGCGGTCCATTAGCACGTGATTAATTAAATATTTGCTAATTTTTTTTCAAAAAGGATTAATTTGAATTTTTTAAGCAACTTTTGTATATAAACTTTTAAAAAAACACATCATTTAGTAGTTTGAAAAGCGTGCGCGTGGAAAACGAGGGAGAGGGGTTGGGAAGAGGGGCATCTGAACACACCCTTAAGCTAATTTTGCAATATTGGGACTGCAAACATTGGGGCTTCATTGTTTTGACACTTCGAGTGGATGACAAATGGGCCCATCTATGTCTATGAAATGTGGGTCCAGGGTCATTATAGCAAAGGTTTATGTTTGCAGTGTCATAATTATAAATCCCCCTTGTTAGAGAGTTACTTTTCAACTATAGTTGATAGACTGATCTTTTTTTTATTCAATGGTAGCAAAGATGGACTTGGGCCTTTGGAGTGGATGAGTATGATAAAATAAAAGAGTAAATTCCGTAAAACACTACCTATTATGTACAAATTCACGAGACCATGAAGATTTTTGCATGTAACATATAACCACAGGTATTATGGTTCTAAAGTTTCACTAAACCACACTATTGATCATTTTAACTTTGATCTATCATACTTTGAGTTTTACAATCATATCTCAGATTTTACGAGGATTTTATCCATAATATAGATGTTACTTTTCAAAATTTTGATATAGGAGTATGTCAAAATGGCTAACAATGTGGTTTTGTGAAACTTCATAACCATAATATCTGGGTTATATGTCGCTTGCCAAAATTTCTGTTGTTTTGTGCAAATTTAACCATAATAGTTGTGGTTTTATAAAATTTACTCTGAAATAAAAAGTGGTCGCAACCCACGATGAAGTCACAGTGATTATCTTTTACAGCATGCACATCTAATTAACTAGGTGAAACCCAGCGCATTGCTGCGGGAATTTAGTATGATAACAATAAAAAAATAACGTGTAAGATAACTAGATAACATCAGATTAAGTAAGTTAATGTGGTTTATGATAATTTAAATTTAAATAGTATGTAGAATGGTGATTCAAACGTAAAAAGTAAGGTGGTATGACTTTATGGAAGAAGAAAAGTTGGGAGATAGTTTGGACCGTAGATTAATCATCTAAAGGCTAAAAACAATTGAGGTGATATGACTTAATTAGAGAAAAAAAGAGAAAGATAATTTGGACCATAGATTAATCATTTAAGCACTAACTAAGTGAGGATAAACTATATAAGTATATAGGATATCATAAAACATAATAAAAATATACATTGAAATATTATGTGAATTATCTAGGATGATAATTTAAAATGCTTATATTTTAAAAGCTCTTAAATTATAAAAACTATAAAATTATACTCACTATGTTTCTAAATATTTGACGCCGTTGACTTTTTAGCACATGTTTGACCGTTCGTCTTATTCAAAAACTTTTGTGAAATATGTAAAACTATATGTATGCATATAAGTATATTTAACAATGAATCAAATGATAGAAAAAGAATTAATTCACATATTTAATTCTTTTTTAATAAGACGAACGGTGAAACATATTTAAAAAAGTCAACGGCGTTAATTATTTAGAAACGGAGGGAGTAGATAATATAGCATGTTTGCATAATGTTTAAATGTGATTATTGTTAGTGGATGATGATGTGACATCTTGTTAATGGATGATGATGTGGTATTTTTGCATGTTAAGTTTAAGGAGTTAGTGGGTTATAACTTTATAGTAAGATAGGATACTTATATAATATATATTTAAATAAAACCTAAAAATTACAATGATAAGAAATACAATTTTTTCAGCATTTGATGTTTCTTTTAATTCTGTAACAAAGTAAAAAAAAAACAAAAGTTCAAAGTAACATTCTGTCAGTCTTTAAAAAAGGAAGTTCTGATACGGAGTACTACTCCGGGGAGTAATGCTGTTTTTGGTCCAGAGAAGCCCAAAGCGTAAGCCGAAACGAGACTGGGGGTACGGAAAAGCCCATATCGCGAACAACATCGCGGCGGAACGGGCTCGCCTTCTCCTTCCCCTTCTCCTGTCCTGTCTCCTTCGCCCGCGCCGCGCCGCCTGCGCCGATCTCCATCCCGGCGAGCACCGCTGCCGGCCTCCTCTGCTGCTTCCGCCGCACACTCTCCTCTCTGACTCCTTGTCCCCCCCTCCCCCCGGGCTTCGGCTCCCGTCTCCACGAGAGTCCGCCAGCCGCCTGCGCTGATCTCCATCCCGCCGTCGCCGCCGCCGCCGCCGCCGCCGCTGACGGAGATATGAACCAGCCGGTGCAGAAGAACACGCTCTATGTAGGTACGTGCCAGTCGTGCCACGAGCTCCAAGCTAGAGCTCTCCTCACCCGTCTTCTTCTTTCTCTTCTGTTTTTCTTTTCCACGCCTGCCACCTGCTCGACGAAATTCCTCCTTCACGGGGTTATCTTTTTTCCTGGCCGCCGGCGGAGTAGCAGTGTGGTAGTGAGCTGAGCTGAACCCGTGCCTCGTTTCTTGGTTTTTGTGGTGCCGCAGGTGGGCTGGCGGAGGAGGTGGACGAGAAGATCCTGCACGCGGCGTTCGTGCCCTTCGGGGAGATCAAGGACGTCAAGACGCCGCTCGACCAGGCCACGCAGAAGCACCGCTCCTTCGGCTTCGTCACCTTCCTCGAGCGGGAGGACGCCGCCGCCGCCATGGACAACATGGACGGCGCCGAGCTCTTCGGCCGCGTCCTCACCGTCAACTACGCCTTCCCTGAGCGCATCAAGGGAGGAGAGCAGGGGTGGGCAGCACAGCCAAGTATGTCCAGCTTCCTTCCTTCCTTCTTATTGCTTGTCCAATCGTCTCCATTGCTCATCGCTTATACCTGCTTAGTTTCCTGACTTAGGGCTAGAACTCTAGAACTGCTGGTTTTGACTACCTCGTTTTGGCTTAAATTTTTATTTGCAATGTGGTGCAAATGCCAAATGCGTGGTCCAGACCCCAGATCGTAGAGGGTGAGGAGTCGCAAAGAATTTTGATTGTAGGACTTGTGTTTTGCCTGATCTAGTAAGAGTAAACAATGGCAAAAGTTTATCATGATTTGTCTTTTGTCATGACTTGTATTTTATCATGATTTGTCTTTAGGTTTTCACTGCCATGAATTTTCTTCCATTCATTTTTATTTGCTTGTAACAAATTGGGGTTATCAATGTGAACAATGAAAAGTTTAAAATGTTGAAGATCCTTGTTTCTTCAACATTATCTTTAGCATTTGGGTCCTGGGGCCATTAGTCAGTGAGACATGAGAGTGGCGTATCATTGAACTCAATGAGTAGCATGCCCTACAAAATTTGATTTTCTGTTATGGAAGTAGAACTATCTCATGTGATAAAATTCAGCTCTTGTAGTCCACAGAAAATTTTAGTTCTTAACATTATTTGAATTTGCAGAATTTAGACCTCTATTGAGGCTTGCAATGATTACTTTACAATTGGTAGTAGTTGATGAATGAGTGTGTTTTAGGTGCTTCTTGAAATTCTGGAGCCTTATATTTTTCTAATAGGGCATTTGGATATTTAAACATCAGCGTTTGCTAGGTTAGGTCGAAATCACAGTGCTAAAAGTCCCAATTATAATCTGTAGCACTCCAAATGTTTCAATTTGATTCAGTTGTAATGGTGGCAATAAGCAACTGCTGTAGGAAAGAGCAAGCTTAACTTATATAAGATCATGACCCTTGTGTCTTCAGTCTGTACAAATTACAAAACTGTATATCGTAGTAGATCATGAGCCTTGTGCTAATAGATGGAGCCAATGATGCGAAATTATTCCTATTAATATTGGATGCCGTAAGTGTTTTCTAACAATCTTTGACGGACTCTATTGACATGCTAGCTTGGGATTCTTCTGAGAAAAACGTGTAACACTAGTAGCACCAAAGGTGCGTACTGCATTTGCATGCACTTGCTGTTCCTAAAATCTGGAAGTTTGAAATGCCAGTCAAGAATGGCTACTTAGCCCTGGCTACTGTTTCATCACTCTATTCGATAACCTATATTAGGTTATTAACTGTTCTCTGTCCAATGCAGTCTGCTAACTATGTCAGTATTATAATTTCATTAATTAGCCTGGTAATGTGCTCGATTTGTTTTACTGGGCATTTAAATTATTTCATAAGTTGATGTATACTTTGAGGAAAGTGAATACATGATTAGCAGATTATACAGGAATGTAGAAGGCTAAACTTTGTGATCCCTGTGTAGTGAAAGCACGTCGATACTATTAGTAATGAACTATTCCCATAATATAGAACTTGATGTTCTTCCTCCAGGACTTGCAACCCTTCACAATGCACTGGAGACTGCTATTCTTAGAGACTTGTATTGATAATATGAACAAACAAATAATGCAATGTTAATGAAGTCCTTTTTAGGTCATGGTAATCATTTTGGTGATTCTCCATTTCTCATCGTCTGAAAATATCATTCAATTTTAGGCCCCTTTTAAAATGAAGGATAATGTTTTAGGAAGCGCCAACATCCGATGAGAGTGAAGACTTCCTTAACCATCAGTTTATTACAAGACTGCTATATTTCAAGAATAGAAATGAACTTAGAAATTTTTTTATGAGAATGAAAAGAACAAGAATGACCACACTATATAATTTATTGTACATACTACAATTTGTATTAGCGGTGTTCCTGAATCACTGCATCGGCGTTCACAAAAAAAGTAGTATTATCTTGCCACAGAGTAGTATTGCCATGCATCTAATGATTTAATCCAGCCATAGTTACTTAATGATCAAAGCATCACTTGTGCGGAACTGTCCTTTGTGTATTTGAATGTTCAAGAGAAATTCTTTGTTCCACAAACACTTACATCATTTTAAATATTTAGCTAAATAATCTGAGCAACCATCAAGTCTAATGTTGTGTTGCAATCTTGTAGGTCTTCTATATCTTTCTCAATGATGTTTTCCTTGAGTCCTAGCTGTACATACCACTTACCTGCACTGAAATCTTTTTTGTTTATTTCATTTTTTTTTGCAATATATTCATTTCATCTTGATTTTCGTTATTGCATAATTGCTGTCATGTATCACCCAATAGACTCATATAGTAGAAGGAATCACTACACTCTAGGGCCCTTTTTCTGTTCCACGTGCATGACACTGATATGGTGACACCACTACACGTTCTAATAAAAAAGTAGTATATATGCATTATTTTCACATCCTCAATCGTTTGCCACTGAAATAATGTATTGCGAGCTTTAAGCAAGGAAAATGTACCTCAAATAGGATCCTTAACTCCTAGAATTCAATTTCAGTAGATGTCTATATGTTCTAGAATTCTATTAACCAGAGATGAGGGGAGCTGAAGGATTGAGATGGGGTTAGGGTTTAGTGTCCTGGCCAAGTGGGTTGGGTTGTCACATATGATTCGGGGATGAGTCGACCTTGTCTCGGAGAATAAAAGAAGTTATTTTTTCTGTATAATCATCCGACATTTGGTCGATAAGCATCCTAAGCGTATCAGAGCTGCACATGTCATTAGACACCAATGCTCAACTTTTCTGAAGTGTTTGTGCATCATAGTTGTTTAGAGATAAGATAATGTTGAGCTGTCAGGTATTTCCTTAATTTTAGAGAGAATTTTCTTATAGGTCAAATTCCTTGATGTAAGGATGAGGTTTGTATCTCTTTTCATTAACCAAGAAGTAAATAAAAGTCTTTGGTATCTCCCTCCTCTTCCTTGCCCTTGTAGTGGGGCTGCCCAGACGGTGCACCTGGGTTGCCTGGTCAAGCAACACCTTAATTAGGCTTAGTAGCCCCTTATCCCTACCATGCACATTACAAGTGCTCAGCTCATATTTAGGGAACTACTGCACAGACTCTGATAGATCTTCTGGTGTACTTCCAATGCTTGTGCCTTCCATAATTTCTTGTTCAAGCTTTTTGTATTTTTTTCAAATCAAGACATTATTTTTGGAAATTGAAATACCAATGGTTGTGTGGAATTATTCAGCTCCTACCACCTATATTCATGGTAGCATACAAGCTTTTTAGTTTTTACCACGTTAGTCCTCACTAATAGAGGGGTGAAAACACTTACTTTGCCAAAAGTTGGGAAAATTATTTTCTTACCATATAATGGTGTGCCTGGTTTTGCCACTGAAACCCTTAAGTCCCTGAAAGCATTATGCCTATACCATTTGTTTTTTCTAAGGCTTAAAATGATTGTAGCAGAAAGCAGCTGATAAATTATGTATTGTGGAACACTGCTAACTGCTAAGAACTTCTACCATATTACTATGTTTTCATAGATGATTCTACCAGGTATACTTTCTGATCTGGATCAGAGGGTAAAAATGATGTCAAGGTATTTTATACATGTTTTAAGTATAACTGTTTGCTTATATACTAGTAAACCCTCTATGCCTGCAGCACGATTCGCCTTAGCTGAAATCAAAGATAGCATTTTGTCGCAATATCATCTATATAAACTCTACTATATATGAGCCATCAGGACACTAGATACATCTGAACAAATTACGAATTTGATAATGTGATTGATTCGTACTGTATGTCGAGCATCCCTTTGTTGCTTGTGCTTTTGTTAGTACTGCTTCTAAACATTGATTAATGGTAAAATGCTGACAAGTTTGTTTGTCTCTTTTCAGTTTGGGCTGATGCAGATACTTGGTTCGAGAGGCAGCAGCAGGAAGAAGAAATGCAACGCCTTCAGGCAGAGCAGCGTGCAGCGATGCAGGCAGCAGAGAAGCTGCACAGGGAGAAATTGGCTGCAGAAAAAGAAGGGGAGAAAGAAGAGGAGACTGATACCAATGCAGACCCCATGGCTGCAGCAGAAGCTCAGGCCTTGAAACAGAGCTCTTAAATCCTTGTGTATTAATGTTAGAACAGGTAGTACTGCAGGCATGTCCATTTGTCAAATGCATGCTATTCTAAATCCGTCGGTGCAACTAACATGCTATTCTCTGCGGACTTGCTAAGCTAGTTGTTAAGTTGGAGCTTTCTGTTCATACTGCCTGTGTACCACTAGTAACATGGATTTTGGGGCTATGAAAAATTGATTTGTGTTTAGCTGTACTGTCACATTCACAGGTGATTTGCATGTCGTCTTATTCTCTGTACATGTATTTGATAGTTTCTCTTGCAACTTTACAAGTCACCGAAACTTCCACCGTCGCCTTATACCTGTCGCTAAATCAAATACTAGTTAATTCATCCGTCTGTACCTTCAAAGATTATCATAAAATTAGATTACCCATACACCCATTCAGAAAAAAGAAAAGAAAAGAAAAAACTGGGCAAGTGTAGATTCATTTCTACCACAGTACCAGTTGCATAAAGGGCCGCATACCATCTTATTACCATTTAAGTGAAAAATATGTATTGATCGGTAGTACACTTGTTATCATGACATCTCAAAAACAAGAGTAGTAGTCTGGACCTCATCAGATTGGAGGACCAGTAGTCGTTTGATGCTCGGCCAACATAGATCCCATCTTCCTGCACGCTCGCATCATGGAACATTAATTTTTTCAAAAAAAAAAAAGGGACATTGGATTCAACTACTAGCAGCACTACTGGTAGGTGCTTCTTCGTTCAGAACAATAATTCACACAAAGATATTTAATGAACCGTTAAGGTATAAACTAGTAGTGACTCTGTTTTTATTTTTACTACTTGAAGATTTACCCTAAAAACGCGATTTATGGTTATTGATACTCAGCTTTGATCATCATTGCATTTCTATTTTTTTTATAATAATACTGTCGATGTTTGATGTCGCGATTCCGGTATTTGCATAGTATGGGGATCGTTGGTACTAGAGTATACGCGAAATTGAGGTAAAAGAGACGGAGACATGGATTTTTATACAGGTTCGGGCCCCTAAATTGTCAGGTAATAATCCTACATCCTGTTGGCCGAAGCCGGTATAGCTCTTATTCATGATAATCACACCAGTACAATATTTGGGGTAGCCTATCTAACTGTTGTCGACATGGCGGTCTGACGATCTGACTCGTAGTCGACAACAGGGTAGCCTTCCTCCTCGAATCCGTGCCCGGCGAGATCAGAGATAGCGCTTTCGTCTCTCCTGACAGTATCCGGAGACACCGTAGGGTACTAGCCGTGCTTATCCCTGAAGTCGATATCCGGCGGCGTGTCTTGGCGTATGTAGGATTCTATGTTGTGGCTTCTATATCGATTGTGTTGGGTGTTGATCCCCTTCCCTCTCCTCCTAGGGGGGCTTGTATTTATACCCATAGGTGTCCTCTTGTCCAAGTAGAACTAGGGAAACCAATATGAATACAATCCGAGTAGTCTTTGTCGTTTCCACGTAGAACTCTGGTTGTCTTTCCTTATCCGGAACTCCTCTTATATCCGAAGGTTGCTTCCGTATAGGACATGGTATGTAGTGGGTCCTGCCGAGATTTAGTCAACTACTATTAGGTATGTGGTATCCATAACCCTGACAAATACAATTATAATACCATAAAAGTATTTTCAATGGCAAAAACTAATGATAAAAATACAATTGAATGCAACAAATAAGTACATTAAAAGAAAACGATTTATTTTCTATGAAATTTTCGCCAGGACATTTTCTAAAACAGTACAATTGGGAACCATATTTCAACTTGCTTCACCTTTTCATAGAATACTTAATATCTAACTAGTGTAAAATTAAAGTATTTTTTCTAAAGCTTTTTAGCTGTGATCACTGATTTTGTTGTGTTGTCATTTCTATTTTTTTTCTTCTTTATTATTGTCATTCAGATATTATTTAATTCTAACTAATTAATAATTCATAGCCGAACCCTGTTGACTAATGCTTCAATAGGTTTGCATAGTGAGACATTAACCCAATGGTCCAAGGCATCCTGTAACAGAGAGATTCAGAACCAACAAAGCGTGTGCACATTTAGAGCAACCTCCTAGTAAGCAGGTTTATATATCCTCCGAGTCAACTACAACTTGATGCAGATCAAATTGATTAAGCAGACCAAAATTGTGCCGGTGCTACACACTCACATGCATGGGAGATCAAATTTTCCCTGTAGAATTTATTTGTTGTACCTTCTTTGTTTTAGAAACAATTTATTTGTACCTTCTAATCAATTATAATCTCCAGAAAACTCATGCCAAGAGACTCTTTTATGCAGGAAACAAAAGAAAATGGGATATTTAATTAGATATTTATGCAGGCACTATCTAGTGAAGCAGGCAGGCCACAACAATTTGGGGATCTATGCTTTACACAGGCTCCATGCAGCCTCCCCATCAGCTGAGTTAATCAAGCTGTCGGTTAATATAAAACGAGATGGTCGTCAGTGTCGGTGGGCATCGAGCAACCTACCCATCAATCATGTTCAGCTGCTACACCGCTGCAAAAAGATTCATCAGCTCAGGCAGCTGGGCATCAGATCCCGATATGTGATGGCAACTGCTAAACTAGCTAGCTAGCTGCAGCTGCGATTATTCCCATGGATGATGAATCGATCCATCCATCCATGCATCGATCCACGCAGCTTAGATTAATTAACTATCTAGCTGGATTAATTTTACATCTCATGGCTGGAAAAGCGAAAGAAAGAGAAAAAAGAGAAAGTAGCAAAGCACCTACCTAAGCTAGTCACTGATTAACTAACAGCTGGTTGATTAATGGAAGTAACATGTCAGTGTAATTTAGCTCGTGGCCTCGACGGAAAGGGTCATGCAGGCACGTGCTATGACCTGTGAGTGTGAGAGACCAAAACCATCATATCTGTCCATCGCAAGGGGGAGGTGTGGTTAATCATTGAGAGCTTAGGTAGATCTCATATGATTTGTGTTTCAAGAATCAAGATTGCTCTTAATTAATTCCGTTTTTGTACAGACATATATGCACATATAATGCGTGTTGTGGATTGTCCAGCTTAACTAGCATGCTTGTCTTGGCACGAAAAAGAAATGTACGATCGAAGTGAACAGTGCAAAGCTCTTCAGTTTCAGCATGCACATGTGCACACGCTTAATAACTAATCAAATTGTCAAGACCACACCATAGTGGATCATGGACGTACACGATGGAGGAGGACACATCTAATGCATATACCTAATTACACTGTAGTGATACGTCGAGACCGAAACCAATCACAGAAAATAGGAAAACGTGTCTGGCAATTATCGGTACGAGTAGAGCAAATAATTAACGAGAAAAACTGAAATTGTTCGACCGACAAGCTATCGTAAGGTAAAATATTTCGCAATGGTTTATTCTTTCTGTCGATTGTGGGAAGGTACTCTTTTTAGTTAAGTGAATGGACAGTTTCTAAATTTACTTGTTATATATATCACCTAAATTCTCGAACTCTTAAAATATATTTTTAAATTTTTATAATTGTCCACTGGCTACCTGTGCATTTAACCTAAACACCGTTTTGTTGGAAGGAAATCGTATCTTGGGAAAATAATTTTTCTTGAATTTAATTTTATATCAATTTTATTATCTCAACTCAGTGAAATCAACAAGTCCTTAATGCACTTTCATATTGTTTAGTTGTCATGTTCCAAGCATTGTATAGGCCAAATATGTTGCGCCTTTTTATATAGGGAAAATTATAAAAACCACCCCAAATATCACTTCAAGTTTGGGATGCCCCCCTATAAGAAGATTTGTTGCAAATCCCCACCTCCTAATTCACTTTGGTTTGATTTAGGCACCTTCCCTCTGCACTGCGTGATTCCTAGAGCATCTCGTGGTGAAATTAGCTAAGTCCCGCTCATCGTGATGATTTGTCAACAAGTTCCTTTTGCATTAGATTGTGTGGCCTTAATTTTTGATTAAACTGTACTGAAATCTGCTATTTTGGGCCATCTGACCAATTGCAACAGATGAAGTTATACAGTTATAATCTGGCTATATGATTACTGCTTCATGTTCAAATGTTTCTATATACTCATTACGTCCCTGAAAAAAAAAACGAATATATTGTTCAGTACACATGAATCAGTTTGAAATATATAGCTAGTATACCATGAAAAACACTATGAAATGGCCATGAGAACCCAACGAAATGATCGTCTTATACAGAACAAACAACACAATCTCTTGCTCCCGTCGAGTGGGGCTTGATTGATTTCGCCATGAGATTCTTCAGGAATCACACACGTGTGGAGAGAAGGTGCCTAAATCAAACCAACAAGATGAATTAGGAGGTGGGGATTTGCAACAAATCTTCTTTTGGGGAGGCATCTCAAACTCATAGTGACATTTAGGGTGGTTTTTACAATTTTCCCTTTTATATATGTAACAAGATACAACTCACCAGTAATTCTGAATAGACTTAATATTTATGCTACAGTGTATAATCAATTTAAATACAATTACCGTGAGTCACTGAACATTAATTTTGATTGGGACTAGGGGGCCTTGGCCCCCCGTCAATTTACACCTATCGGGATAGGGGCCTTAGCCTCCTAGTTACATTTAGCGGGTAGAAGATCGGCCTTAGACTCCTAATTACATCGAGAGCGAGTACAAGATCAAAGAATATTCAAGTCGCTACTGATGTTGACATGTGAAAATGTGTAGTAGAGACTAGATCACCAAACAAATTTGAAAATGTGGAGTAGAGACTAGATCCCCACAAAAATCTGGCATCCTAAACGGTTTAACTCAATTAAGAATTTTGTGAGTCCATATATGATATTATATATCCATTTCGTATTACCTGTTCTCGTCCTGTAGCATGATAAGTATGTTGCATATCTTGCCAGAGCAACAACAAATAACATAACCATCTTACTAAATAAGCATTGTCATGTCTAATATTGCACTTAAGATCTTTACCAGAAATTCTGAGGTTACATAAGCTATAAAATGTCATAGCATCCATCTTTGAAACACTTACTTGTTGCATGTCCTGTAATGCCTTGGTGACACACCTCTTACAATTACTAATATAAGTAACACCAAAACACTGCCCAACTGCATACACCTACCAAAACACTACTCAACTGCATACATCTGCTCTTTGGTTGAGTTAGTCATGACCTTGGCAAACAAAGTGTCACTAGCTGATCCAATAAACAAAGTGTCACTAGATGAGACTTTCAGTGGTGATGTCCTCAATAAGA